CCTCCTCTCCTCTCCTCCTCCTTCTACTCCTCCTTCCTCCTCTCTACTCCACACCTTTCCTCCTCTCCTCTCTCCTCCTGTCTCCAAATCTCTCCTCCCTTCTCCTCTCTCCTCTCCTCTCCTCCTCTCTTCCTCTCCTCTCTCCTTCTCTCCTCCCTCTCTTCTTCTCCTCTCTCCTTCTCCCTCTCTCCTCTCTCCTCTCTCTTCCTCCTCCTTGTCTCCTCTCCTCCTCTCTTCTCCTCGTTTCCTCCTCCTCTCTCCTCTCCTCCCCTTGTCTCCGCTCCTCCTCTCCTTGTCTCCTCTTCTCCTCCTCCTCTCCTCTTCTCCTCCCCTCGTCTCCTCTTCTCTTCCCCTCCTCTCCTCTCCTCCTCCTTTCCTCCTCTCCTCTCCCTCCTCGCTCGTCTCCTCTCCTCCTTTCTCCAAATCTCTCCTCCCTTCTCCTCCTCTCTCCTCGTTTCCTCTCTCCTCCTCACTCATCCTCTCAGTCACACCTCTCCTCCTCTCCTCTCTCCTCCTCTCCTCTCTCCTCTCTCCTCTCTTCTCCTCCTCTCCTCTCCTCCTCTCCTCCTCTCTCTTCTCCTTGTCTCCTCTCTCCTCTCCTCTCCTCCCCTTGTCTCCTCTCCTCTCTCCTCCTTTCCCCTCCTCCTCCTACCCTTCCTTCCTCCTCTCTACTCCACACCTTTTCTCCTCCTGTCTCCAAATCTCTCCTCCCTTCTCCTCCTCCCTCCTCGTTTACTCTCCTCTTTTCCTCTCTCCTCCTCACTCATCCTCTCGGTCACACCTCTCCTCCCTCTCTCCTCCCTCTCTCCTCCCTCTCTCCTCTCCTTCTCTTCTCTCCTCCTCTCTTCTTCCTCCGTTCGTCTCTGGCTGGCGGACATTCTCTCCTCTCCTCCGTAGTATCCGTGGACCTGTCAGATTCCATTAGTGTTGACGTGTGACATTTAAATGCCTTTCCTTAATTAACCAAAGGGAAAAATATACAGAAAAAACACACACACACGCACACACACACACACACACACACACACACACACACACACACACACACACACACTCGGATCCGCGAGCGCGAGGCGTTTCCGAGATAAAACCGCGACATTACAAACAGACGCCCAATTAAAATACTCTGAGATCAGAAACACGAGACGTTTCCCAATCGAATACGAGACAGAAACACTTTTAAAATGAAGACGTGATTCAAAATAAACTCTCTTCCCGTTGTCTCTTCTGCACATGAACAAGTACAGGTTGGGTTCTGGAACGGAAGCACAGGCTCCGCCCCCCAAACCTGACGAAGACGACGAGTCACGGAGCAAATGAAATAACTGGAGGGAACTGCTGCTTTTACCTGAACAGACCGGGACCGAGACCGAGACTAGACCAGGACTGAGACCAGGACTGAGACTGAGACCAAGACTGAGACCAGGAGCAGACCGAGACTAGACCAAGACTGAGACCAGGAGCAGACCGAGACTCAGACTGAGACTGAGACTGAGACTGAGACCGGACTGAGACTGAGACTCAGACTGAGACCAGGACTGAGACTGAGACCAGGACTGAGACTGAGACTGAGACTGAGACCAGAGACTGAGACTGAGACCAGGACTGAGACCAGGACTGAGACCAAGACTGAGACCAAGACTGAGACCAAGACTGAGACCAGGCCGGGACCAGACCAGGACCAAGACCAAAACTGAGACCGGGGCCCAGACCGGGAACGGACCAGGCCGGGACCAGAGACTGAGACTGAGACTGAAACTGAAACTGAGACCGAGACCGACACTGAGACCGAGACTGAGACCGACACTGAGACCAGGAGCAGACCGAGACTGAGACCTGGACTGAGACTGAGACCGGGACCAAACCCAGACCGAGACTGAGACCTGGAACAGACCGAGACTGAGACGGGAACAGACTGACCACACCGAGACTGAGACTGAGACCGAGACCAAACTGGGACCAGGCCGGGACCATACCGGGAACAGACAGGGACCAGACCAGGACCGGGACCAGACAGGGACCAGACCAGGACCAGACAGGGACCCAGACTGGAGGACCAGACAGGACCAGACCGGACCGACCAGACCGAGACCGAGGCCGGGACCAGACCGAGACTGAGACTGGGACTGAAGCCGGGACCAGACCGGGACTGAGACCGGGAACAGACCAGGAACAGACCAGGACTGAGAGCGGGATTGAGACTGAGACCAGACTGGGACCAGACCGGGACCAGACCGAGACTGACCGAGACTGAGACCGGCCGACCAGACCGGGACCAGACCGAGACCAGACCGAGACCAGACCGGAGACTCAGAGCCCACGGCACAGAGCCAGAGCTCGAAGCTGAGGCTCGGACCCTGTGGCTTAGAGTCCGCCCTGGTCCTGCTCTGGTCCCGGACCTGGATCAGTCCTGGTTCAGTCCGACATCGCAGCCACAGAAGTCACGTAAACGGGAAACGTCCGTTATCCGTTTTTTTTCCATTTTTCATTTAAACACAAAATCGAAAACTGAAAAAACGAATCATTAACTGTTTTTTCATTTTGATTTTAGAGACAAATAATGAAGAATATTGTTGTTTTTTCGTTTTGTTATTTTGGGTTTTATATTGAAAAATGAATGAACGAATGACACACGGATTGTGTAGGTGGATGAATGTGACCTGACTGTTCAGACTCAAGTCACATGTCAAAAGATCAGATATGTATCGGTTTCAGGAGCACAGATCCAAGTGTCCTGGGTCACATTTGAAAAAAAAATCGGATCTGTGTGGTTCAGACTGACATTAAAAGATCAGATACAGGAACATAGGGGCCAAAAAATCAGATTTGGGTCACTTCAGGTGCAGACTGAACATAGTTTAACTGTTGTGTTTCGTTTAAAGTCCTACGTGGTTTATTTGTGAAAAAAAGTTAGAAAATAAACCATTTAATGACAGTGTGTTTTATAATCCAGAGCGGAAAATTCGGGGACTTTTCAGAACACGTTTATAAAGATCTAAACTAAACTACGGCTGATTTGGACTTTTAAGACTAAACATCTTTAACGTATTTAAAAATAAAAGCGTACGAGTTTGGTGTAATAAAGATAAAATCGCTGGAGCAGATCGGTGGCCATGGGGACGGACTAAACCAATATTTCCTCTTGAAAGTCGTGTTTGCGTTTCCGTGGAGCAGATGCCTGGGTCCGCGCCGCCGTCTTTTCACACAGAGACCAATTAGAAGCTTCCGGAGCCCTAATTAATCCGTGGATCTGTCTTGATTCCACAAACACGCGCCGCATTACATCTCGGCTCGGCTTTATAATGAGCCGCCGACCGGAGCGAGCGAGACTTTCACCTCCGCACCCGCCGACCTCCGAGTCCGAGTCCGAGTCCGAGTCTGAGTAAAGCGGCGCGGGGGGTGAGCTGTGTGCTTGTCTAGGGCGGGATGTTCGGGACGCGGCGCTCACATCGGCGAACAACAGACTGATAAGTTTGGAAACGTTTGAGAGGAACAATCTGTGTGTCATTGGTTTTTCAAAATAAAACCAAAAATAAGAAAATGAAAAAAAAAAAAACAGATAATGATTTGTTTTTTTTAGATTTTTATTTTGTGTTTAAATGAAAAATGGAAAAAAAACAGAAAACGGACTGAACCAGGACTAAAACAGGTCCGGGACCAGACAGGAACCCGGCCGGGACTGAGACAAAGACTGAGACCGGGACCAGACCGGGACTGAGACAGGAACTGAAACCGGGACCAATTGTGTACCAGACCCAGACCAGGACTGAGACAAAGACTGAGACCAGGACCAGACCGTGATTGAAACAGGGACTGAAACCAGGACCGGACCGGGACTGAGACCGGGACTGAGACCGGGACTGAGACCGGGACTGAGACCGGGACCAGATCAGGAACAGGACCGGGACTGAGACCGGGCCTGAGACCGGGCCTGAGACCGGGACTGAGACCAGGACCGGGACTTAGACCGGGACTGAGACCGGGACCAGATCAGGAACAGGACCGGGACTGAGACTGGGACTGAGATTGGGACTGAGATCGAGACTGAGACCGGGACTGAAAGCAGAACCAGTCCAGGACCAGACTGAGACCAGAACTGAAACCAGGAACAGGACCGGGACTGAGACCGGGACTGAAACCAGGAGGGAAACAAGGACTGAGACCAGGACTGAGGCCGGGACCAGTTGTGGACCACAGACAGACCAGGACTGAGACAAAGACTGAGACCAGGACCAGACCATGATTGAAACAGGGCCTGAAACCAGGACCGGACAGGGACTGAGACCGGGACTTAGACCGGGACTTAGACCGGGCCTGAGACCGGGCCTGAGACCGGGCCTGAGACCAGGACCGGGACTTAGACCATGACTGAGACCGGGACCAGATCAGGAACAGGACCGGGACTGAGATTGGGACTGAGATCGAGACTGAGACTGGGACTGAAAGCAGAACCAGTCCAGGACCAGACTGAGACCAGAACTGAGACCCGGACTGAGACCGGGACTGAGACCAGGACTGAGACCAGGACCAGACCGTGATTGAGACTGGGACTAAAACTGTGACTGAGACCCAGACCAGTACAGGACCGGACTGGGACTGAGACCAGGACCAGACCAGGACTGAGACTGGGACTGGAACCGGGACCAGTCCAGGACCAGACCGGGCTCGGGACTGAGACCAGGACCAGCTCTGGGATTGGTGGTGGGACAAATCACGTGTAAAAGTTTCAGATGGAGCAGTTCGAGTTCTTTAGTCTCCAGTTTCAGATCTTCTCCTGAAGCTGCTGTGAGCTTCTGTCGGACTCTTCAGAGCAGAGAACCGCTGCTCGTAGAGTCTGAACATCTGTTTTCTGAGCCTTTCAAGGAAAAACAACAGATCAGAAAAGTTGTAAAGACCACTGAGAAGGTTTCCACGCTGCAGCGGAGTCGTGCCGCTTCACCGTCTCCTTCGTTTTGTTTCCGTTTCTTTATCTCCCGTCCTTCTCATCCTCGTCTGTCCAGGTCCAGGAGCCTCAGAGTGACCGACACCTGATCGACACGTCTCCGGTTCTGCAGAAGCTCACCAGTTTTGAGGAGTCCATCGGCGTCCTGTTCACGCACGTCAGACTGCTGGCCGAGCCTTCACCCTGAGGACCGTGGGCTTCAACCACCTCACGCTGTAAGTCAAACCAAGATGCATTTAATTTATTTATTTATTCAATATTTTACCAGGTACATGAAGCAGTGAGGAGGTTTTAAGGCACTGTTTTTAGGATTTGAGACTTGACTTGATAAAATGGACTAAGACGTGAAGGTCGGTGACTTGGGACTTGACTTGGACTTGAGGCCTGTGACTTGAGAAGCACTTTTAAATCTGAATTCTAAAAAGTACAATTTATCTTAAAAGTAAATTACAGAAATCTAAGATGTATTTTTTATTTTGGTTTAAAGAATTGAAATGACTTGAAGCTCAAAGCAGACGACTTGGACTTGACTCGGACTTATGGGTCAGTGACTTGTCTGTATTTGACTTGGGGCCTGACTCGGACTTGAGGTCAAAGACTTGAGACTTACTTGAGACTCGCAGAACAAAGACTTGGTCCCACTTCTAGTCGACAGCGGTAAAAACAAACTAAGTTTTAAAGTGTGTGGAGGTGGTTCCCATCACCTGCTGCAGAAAACATGAGGATTTATAAAAACAAACAAACACATGCACGCGACACAACCACCTCACGCTGTAAATCTGTCACGATGTACGAGGATTTATACTAAAAACACCCAGAGAAATGCACACTACACACAACACGCTCACGCTGTGAAACTGTCACGATGTACGAAGATTTATACTAAAAACACCCAGAGAAATGCACACGACACACAACAAGCTCACGCTGTAAGTCTCTGTGAAGATATATGAGGGTCTAAACTAAAACACTAAACATGCACAGACTTTAACTTCACTAATTTACTGATCCTTTTAAGTGACGTCACGCTGTGAACAGGGACGGACTGGGACCAAAAACAGCCCTAGACTTTTCCCGCACAAACACACCTACCATGGGGTGAAAATAAAGAATCATTTCAATAAATCATCAATGAAGTAATTGAAGAAAACACACAAAGATGAACTGTTTCTGTTAATTAACAAAAACACCTAAATCACTTCATTTCGAAGTGACTCAGCTTTTTTCTTTTTAACCTTTTCCCATTTTCTTCTTTTTCACCTTTGACAAATGGGCAAATTATGATATTAGCGCCTCTGCTGTTTGTACGGTCCGATGCCCAGTAGAGGTCGACCCGAGCCTCCAGGTTCCAAAAGGGCCGAGCTCAATGTTTCATGATCCCAGATTCGCCTTTAGCCCAGCGAGGTTCTTCCGGTGTCTGGTGGCCGATCGAGCATGTGCAGTAGTGTCTTTTCTCCCGGGAAGCACGCGGACGCACGCGAAGGCACGCGGACGCACGCGAACGCACGCGGACGCACGCGGACGCACGCGAACGCACGCGAACGCACGCGGACGCACGGAGCGCGAGCTTGTGTATCACGTGATCACTTTGACCAATCAGAGCGAGAGGAGCAGGAGCCGGACCGAACGATTGTAAAGAGTTTTTTTAAGACAACTGGAGGGTTTTGAACTGAGAAATAGTGTATGATCTAAAAATGGGTAAAAATTTTGGTTTAGTGACCATCGGTGTTTATTGGTGTTTGTCTTGAAAAAGGAAAGGGGGGCAGAGAACATAAGAGTTTTTCTTCTTTCTGCTCCTTTTCATTCATTTCTTGTGTGTCTGATGTTGTGACACTGTCGATGTCTTTTTATGCTTTATGAATGAAATAAATAAAATGAATAATAATAATAATAAAATCGCCACAAAATCCGACATTTTTGAAAGTTTTAGGTCCCTGTCAGCCGAACATGAGCAGTTTGTGATTACTTTGCCTCTATGAGAAAAATCTTTTCTCGGCCCAGGGGATTTTTTCCGCTGAAATTCCAGTGAGTGTCACTTCGTAAACTCAAGGCAGATACAAGCAGCAGTGCTGTATCCAGTTGTTTTAATTCATCCATGGGTTGATCGGACGGTCGTTCTGGACTTTTCACAGATTGTCAGTCCCCCCTGCCTGTAAGTGTACAAGATAAATGACTTATGCTAAAAATCACACAGAGACATGCACACAACTCGTCCAACCACGTGACACTGTACGTCTCTATGAAGATATATGTGGATCTATACTAAAAACACACACAGAACAAACACACATCAATCAGCCACATCTCACTTTACATCTCCAACACCTCCTCAGTCTGAGTCTAACGAAGACACGTGCGAAGAGACTCGGCTTTGACACATGTAATTAACAAAAATGGCAGAACACACAGAGGAATCAATACCAGTTTATGGTTCATACTGTGAGAGAGAAAAACTGAAAAACTGTTGACTAATGCTAATGCTAATGCTAATGCTAATGCTCGTTTGTGACTAAATTGTTGTTTGTTGTCACCTGTTGGAGCTCCGGCCAAATCACTTCTTTCTGGTCAGATTGTGTTAAAAGATCAAATTAGATCAATCCAACTTGAGTTAGATCTTCAGATAGAGCAGCCCCCCCCCCCATTATTTTCATTATTATGTAAACAAATATAACGAGAACATTTCAAAGATTTGACCAAGATTTGTTTTGTTTGTTTTTTTGACTGAAAAGACTGAAAACTAGTCAATTAATACGGGCTGGGCATCATTACCGTAAGAAGTTCCCGATACGATACATACCTCGATACATAGGCCACGATACGATACATACCTCGATACATACTGATACCACGATACGATACATGTACATATACGATACATGTCTCGATACATATGATACCATACGGTACGATACATGACTCGATACATATGCCACGGTACGATACATACCTCAAAACTTTGGCCACGATACGATACATGTCTCGATACATAGGCCACGATACATACCTCGATACATAGACCACAATACAATGCATACCTCGATACTTTGGCCACGATACGATACATACCTCGATACATAGGCCACGATACGATACATACCTTGATACATAGGTCACGATACGATACATACGTCAATACTTAAGCCACGATACGATACATAGATACGATACCTCGATACATACATGGATACATACCGATACGATACATACCTCGATACTTAAGCCACGATACGATACATACATCGATACATAGACCTCGATACGATACATGCCTCGATACATAGGCCATGACACGATGCATACCTCAATACGTAGGCCACGATACGATACACTTTCGATACAATATGATCTATTTCAAATCGATTCGATACAGTTCAATAAAAAATAATGTCTAAATCGTGGCTGTGATACTAAAAGACTTCATATGAAACACACTTATTTTAAACTAAACATGTTCATTTTGTCTTTTTAGGTACTTAAATGTGTCGGGTTATTTTTTAGAGAAAATACAGTAAAGTTTATTCACCTTGTTGACATATTTCGGCTGCTGCTGCAAGACATCTTCAGAACCGTCGCCCATTTTAATCATCAAAACACTGAAAATGTCAAATTTGTCGCATAAACGAGTTTCCTTCTACTAAACGACTGACGAAAACTGCAGCTGTAAGAAAATAATTTTGTAAAATACGCCAAAAAACGTCGCATTAAACGTACGATATATCGATATTGGGACACTGGGAGGGCATCCGACGCACGGGAACATCTCAGAACATGTCTGAAAAAGTCTAAACTACAGAATTTTCAGCTTTTAAGAGCCGATAAACACACGGGGACATTTTGTTACATAAAAAAATTATTTGCGATGTCCTAATTAAAGCATTCAAATTTCAATTACTCGTCTTTTCTTTTTATATTTGTTGATTAAATTGTTAAAAGCTTTTCTCTTCCTCCACTTTCATTACACCGCCCACACTCTTTCTTTCTTTTTCTCTCTTTCTGCTCTTGTAAGTCACGTTCCAAGTCCCTGTTCTGGTCTCGGTTTGGTCTGGTTATAATCCTGGTCGTTCACAGCTCAAAGACTCGGGCACCGCTGGGACCTTCTCCATCTGCAGTCCGGAGCCGAGGCGCCGTAACCCCGCGGCCTCCTGGGAAATCGGGCTCCCTCGCCGCGTCGTCCGGGGCCGCGCTTTCATTCGGGCGGCTCGCGTCACTCATCCTCACACGTCCGTCGTGCCGCTTACGGTTCGGCCTCGGAATAAAAAAAAGGGCGAAGTCGAAGCGAAGAAGGCGACGGACCGACGCTAAACCACCAAGAGTTTAAAGAACAAAACTGTGAAAAAAAACAGAATAATTTACTCATTAGACCTGGTTTAGACCTGGTTTAGTCTGGGTTTAATTATATTTTAGTCCCGATTTAATTCTGTTTTAGTCCTGGTTCAATGCTTGTTCAGATCTTGTTCAGTTCTGGTTCAGTCCTGGTTTAGTTCTGGTTTAGTTTTGTTTTAGTCCCACTTTAGTCCTGGTTTAGTGCTTGTTCAATCCTGTTTTAGTCTGGTTTAGTCCACGTTTAGTTCAGTTTTTGTTCCGTTTTAGTTCAGTTTCACTTCTGGTTTAATTCTGTTTTAGTCCCAGTTTAGTTCTGTTTTAGTTCTGGTTTAGTGCTGGTTTAGTCCTAGTTTAGAACTGGTTTAGTCCACGTTTAATTCTGTTTTAGTCCCGTTTTAGTCCCAATTTTGTCCCGGTTTAGTCCTGGTTCTGTCCTGATTTATTTCTGGTTTAGTCCTTGTTCGGTTCTGTTTTAGTCCCAGTTTAGTTCTGTTTTAGTTCTGGTTTAGTCCTGGTTTAGTCCTAGTTTAGTCTTGGTTTAGTCCACGTTTAATTCTGTTTTAGTCCCGATTTAGTCCCACTTTAGTCCCGGTTTAGTCCTGGTTCTGTCCTGATTTATTTCTGGTTTAGTCCTGGTTCGGTTCTGTTTTAGTCCCAGTTTAGTTCTGTTTTAGTCCCGGTTTAGTCCTGGTTTAGTTCTGTTTTAGTCCCGGTTTAGTCCTGGTTCTGTCCTGATTTATTCCTGGTTTAGTCCTGGTTTAATTTTGTTTTAGTCCCAGTTTAGTTCTGTTTTAGTTCTGGTTTAGACCTGGTTTAGTCCTGGTTTAGTTCTGTTTTAGTTCTGGTTTAGTCCTGGTTTAGTTCTGTTTTAGTCTCGATTTAGTCCTGGTTT